GGGGGGGGGGGGGGGGGGACTATTCCCGTCTTGCTTTTGGCTCCAAGTCATCTCAGCCTGCAGGATAAGGGAACGTGTGTGCAGCAGGAGGTGGGTAGAGGCTCCTGCCAAGGGGTGCCCTGGCACTCACCGCATTGATCCCACTGAGCTGCTGGCCCATGGTCAGGCAGACAACTGCAATCAGCTGCCAACGGATGCTACGGTCAGCGAAGAGCTGCCATGGCTTCTTAGCCTTCTCCCCTCCGAGGGCAAAGCTCTCTCTCTGGATGTCCCCCATTTCCTTCTGGTAGCGCAGAGGGCCGTGGAAGCGCTTCAGTGCTGGGGGGAGAAATGGGGGTCAGTCTCCAGGGGGTTTCCCACCTGAGGCCACTTTGTCCCGTGGCAGCTAGATGCTCTGCTGCTCTCCAGCAGGAGCCAAAGCATCTCAGGCCACCCTCCCAGCTGCCGCCTCCCTTTTCTAGGTGTGGCTCTGCTAAGCTGGGAGGGGTTATTTGCCCGGAGATCCCCTCACCTTGACAAGGACAAGACTTTGGCAGTCTCCATTTCTTTCTGGTGGGCAGAACGAGCCACTGGCTTGGGGTTTCCTGGCCTGAAAGCAAGCGCTTGGTTTCCCCTTGGGGGTCTAGGGGGCGGGGCTGCCAAAGGCCTCAGCCTGCTCTACCTTTGATGCACTTGGCCTCGTCTCCTCGGTCAAGAAACATGAAGCGGGGGCTCTCTGGGAACCAGGGAAGGGTCAGGAGTTGGATCATGGCTGGTAAGCAACAGCTCAAGAGCAGGAAATGCCAGCACCCCTCTCCACCCAGCAACTCCCTGTGGGAAGAAGCAGAAGGAGCAACGCTTCAGGTCCCCAGGTGGCCAGCTGCCCCTGAACCTGGGGCCCAGGGGACCCAGAATCCAACACTCACCTTAGACCCATCACTTGTCCGGTCAAAATACCCCCTGTCAGGAAGATGGAGCTGCCCATAGTCATGGCCCCTCGAAGGTGTCTGGGGGCAGCTTCTCCTATATAGAGAGGCTGCACACAGAGTCCAACGCCTGAAATGGAGGAGGATCTCAGGAGCAGCCCCTTTACCACGGGGTTTCTGTCCCACAGGCACGGGTTACATTTCAAAAAAGTTCTGTGTAGCGGAGAGGCCTCCCCTGACAGAAGGTGGTCTTCAATTAATCGCATACGTGCCGCAGGTTGGTCTCTCACAGGAAGCACCCCAATTCAGTACCATGGATGAATCTTGGCTGCATTTTTCCAGAGACAAACTCCAATGCTTTACCTGCATTCATTCCAATCAGAAACCTCCCAGCGATGAGCAATTCGAAGAGCCCCGTTGGGAAGCTGGCTCCCATCAGAGTAGCAGCGAGGAGAGCGAGGAAGTTGTTCATCAGAAGAGCTCCTTTCCTACCGAAGAAGGCGGTAAGAGGAGCTGCACCGAAGGAGGGGACCAAAGAGCCGCTGCAGCAATTCTTGGCCGCCCACGGGAGGCTGGGAACGTGTCAGGCAGCAGGAAAAGCAAGCGACTCGGGGTTTCAAAAGAGTGGAAGTTTCCTCTCTCTGAAGGGCCCCCCTCTGGGTGCTGGTGCGCAGCTGCGGTTTTCTCAGGCAACCGAGAGGCTTCCTTCCCATCCAGCCACATAACGAAAGCCCATCCCTGCAACACCTCTTCTCTCTGATGGGGCAGTTCTGGCTGTGCTCCCCAGGGAATGTCGGGTCTGGCCAGGTCCTTGCTCTCCAGGGAGCAGTGAAGATCGAGGATGGACAAGGGCCTGTCTGTTTCCCTCAACTCTTTGGAGGAGGAGTTTCAGTTGTGAAAACTGTCCAATGAGCAAAGGAATCACGCCTCTTGGAATGATCACTCACCTGCCCAGCCAGCCAGCCATGCTGCCCCCAAGGTGGGCCCCAAAGAACCCACCTAGGGAAAAAATGGAAGCAACGGTGGACAAGAGAAGAGTCAGCGTGCTGGAACTCAGCTCGGTCTGGTAACGACTCTGCCAGGTGTCATTGAGGAACTTGTGGATGTGCTGAAAACCCAAAGGAAGAATGTGGGCGCTGCTGAGCAAGCAGTTCACTCTCCTCAGGTAAGGGTCTCCTGCACGGGGGCTGCCTGAGACCTCCCCACTCTTAATCAGGGCCAGAGCAGCACAGCTCTTGTGCCAGAAAGGTGCTAAACGAGTTGCTGAGAATCCACCTCTTTGCTTCCTTCCCCATCTTACAAAACTGACGCAGCCCTTCGGTTAGAGCTTGCTGCAGATGTACGTTCTGGGAAGAGTCATCTGCCACAGAAAGATCTAGCGTGCAAAGCACTTGTTCTGTGGAGGATGGCCATGGACTCCCCCCACTTTCTGTACTTGCTTCTGGCTCCTCGTTCAACTGGAAGCCCTGGCTGCAGAGGTACTCTTTTGGATGAGACCCCCCCCC